AGGAGGAGGAGCAGGGTCAGGAGTTGGAGGAGGAGGAGGAGGAGGAGGAGACGGAGGAGGAAGAGGTGGAGGGGGAGGAGGAGGAGGAGGAGGAGCAGGAGGAGGAGGAGGAGGATGATGAGGAGGAGGACAAGGAGGAGGAGCACGAAGGGAAAGGGGAACTGAGAGGAAGCAGGGTGAGTGGTGGGATGCGAGGTGGAGGGGGGCGGGGGGAACAGGGCAAGGGGGAGGACAGGATGAGGATGGGGGAGGGGGAAGAGGGCGAGATGGAGGACGCGGATGAGTAGTAGAAGGGGGAGGGGGATGCGGGTCAGTGGGGGGGGGGTGCATGCTGTTCGGCGCGGCCTGCCGCGAATATTGTGAGGTGCTTCGCGCAGGCACCGCCGCTCGTGTGCGCGCGCTGTAGCCGGGGTGCATCTCGCCAAGCGATGAGGGTCGGGCAGCGCTGGGCAAGGCCTGGGGGTGGCGCTCGAACAGGCCCCCCAGATGCAGCCCAGGCTGGCATGGACAGGTCCTGGGGCAGCTTGGGGTGGTCTCAGCATCGCCGCGCCGCCAGTGGTTGGCAACATTGGCTGGCGTACTGAGTTCGCCCCAGGCGCGGACTGCGCGTACCAGTGGAAGGCTGGCGCTCTCGGGACACGGGGGGTGTAGATGTCCTGTATTCCGGGGGCGAACCTGGTTCCGTGCTGCAAGCTCTTGTGCTAGGTGACGGCTGTTTTTCGGCCTGATCCCGAGGTTTAGAGCAACCGCACAGCTCTTTGTCACACCATTCGGTTCGCAATGGCACGAGGAATCGGCTTGCACCCGCGAGATCGCCGAAATCGGTGCACCAGCGTCAGTTGCAGTCGGTAAGCGAGTTCCGTACTGCGGACTCTCGGTCGGGAAGAGCGGCGCTGCCTTGCCAAGAGCATCCTTTTGGCACCTTACGACCGCGCCCCCAAGAGCACCCGCTCGACGCCTTATGGCCGTGCCTGCGGCCGAGCGGCTTCCAGCCCTGAGGCTTCAGAGCCTGCCTCTGTCTGCTCGATGGTTAGAGGCCTGAGCGGACGAGGTGGATCCGCGCCTCCTGCGCCGCGTAGCGCGCGCGTCGTCCTGCGTCGTCTGGTGGAGGCTGGCAGCGCACATGCCCAGATTTTCGACGGAGTGTTTTTCCACAGCGTCGACCCCCGGGGGTCTCGACCCATTCCCCGGGGGCCGGTGTTCCGTCCTGGGTCGTCCTCTGACGGCCTCTGGGCCCGGCGGGGGCCGCAGGAGGCCGAAGACAGCACCCAGAACTCCCGTCATAAAGCTTCGGAGGTCCGCGGGCGGCCTCTCCGCTGGCGCCGCCCCCCCCCCCCCCGCAGGCGTCCGACGATGTGTATTTTTTTTTTTAATATATATATATATATATATATATATATATATATATAGGGGGGGGGGGGGAGGGGGCGCCGCCCCGGAGGTCCCGACCCGTCCTGGGCGCGGTTGATCGTCACGGGTCCATGGTTTGCAATCCTGGGGCCCAAAAAGAGGCCACAGAGGCCAAAGTCAAGCTTGGGAGTCGAAACTTCTTGCCGTAGCCAGGCCAACCAGCCAGCCCAACCAATCCAATTAACCAACCCAACCAGCAAACCCGCTAACCAGCCCAACCAGCCACTCTGCCAACCCGCCACCCCCTGCCGCCTGCCCTCCGTCACATTTGATGGGGGGAAGTGTTTCTTACTTGCGACAAGCAAAGGCCCACCCTCCCCAGGCCAGGCGAGACGGGGGGAGAGTCATACATCGCACCGTGTCATGGGGGACCAGGCTTCCCGCCGCGGGGTGTCCAGCGAAACATCACATCGTCGGAGATTGGTCCCCCCCCACACCCTTCTGTGGTGGGCGGCGCTGGGGGCGCCGCCGAGGGGCCTTGCTGCCTGTCGGAGATGCCGCACGCCCATGCCCGAAGTGTGCATTCAGGCGGGCGCTGGCGGCGATGTCGGCACTCTTCCGTGCTCGGGGCGCTCAGGTTCCAGACCCCCGCGCGTCGTTGAAAAATTCACGACGGGCGTTCTTTTATCGTTTTTTGTAATGTCATTTTTGTTTCTTTTTTTGCCATTCACGGTCTTGGGGGGCCCTCGACGGGTCCCAGGACCGTCAAAAAGGACTCAGGATGAAAAGGTGGTCCCAGTGAACGTGGCGGGACCTCTGGGGGTCGACGTTGTGAACAAACGGCCAGCGCTCTGGGGGAATGCGCTGGGTTCAGCAACGTTATGGACCCCAGAGGATTTACGGTAGGTTCGCGTCGTGTCGACCAGCGGCGACCCCGCCGCCGACGTTCAACGTTGAACGGAGACGGCGGCCCAGAATCGGTCGATGTTGAACGATCGGACGTTGCGGAGACGGCCGATCGTTCAAGGTTGAACGATCCAGCGCGGTGTCAGGAACCAACGCCAGGGTCGACACGGCACGGACCTGCAGTAGAAACCCTCGCGTTGCGTTGCCCGCTTTCGCCCTTCCGAACACCGCCGATCTGCAACCACGTGCGAACCCTACCCCTGCGGGTCAGATCGACGATGGGGTATCGCACACCCGTACTGGAGTTCATTTGGCTGCAGGCATCCTTCGAATTCTGAATTCTGAGCCCCAGCCGACGTTTCAGAAATCTGACACGCAGGGGTAGGTTTCACATGTGGTTGCCTAGCTGTTGTTGTGATCTGACTTCGCGAAAATACTGCAGCATCGTGTGCAACTAAACGTCGCGACGACCGGATCACATGGGATGCTCAGCGGTCATTCCTGCGCGCACCTGCTCTTCTGGCCTCCTGGTCTGAGGTTGGCGTTCATCGGCGTCTGTGCCGCCTTCTCGGCGCTATTGGTCCGTGCGCCAGACGAGGTCGTCGCGCCCTTGGCTCGTCCAGGTCAGCTGGGGCCAAGTGTCGGGGCCGCTGGGCCGCCCTCCTCCCTCCTCTCTTCTCCCTCCCTCCCACCCTCCCTCCCTCCCTCATCCTTCCTCTTTGCTGACAGGCTATATGCTTCAACAGCGTCGTAATCCAAAATCATCCCTCCTCGGGCCCGCGCCGTAACCGCAGCCGTGCTGCCTTCTTCCACTCTTCCGCGCACGAGCTGTCCTTCCGGCACGGGCCTGGTGCGCCGCTCCCTGCATAGCGACCGCGCCATGCAGGCGTGGAGAGTCAGCCACGCGCAGAGGGGGGTGGGGGGAGGGGGGAGGGCTTCTTACAAGCAACCCTGCTTCTTAGAAGGCGCGGGCCTCATCTGTAGATACAAGGCCAGGGCCCTCGAAGGAGCAGGATGCTGCTCAGAAGCCCCCCTCCTCCCCCCACCCCCTTGTGCGCGCCGCCAAGAGAGGCTATGGTCTTCGTCCGCCTCCGCCGCTGTGGCAGACGGCAGCGCTGATCCTCTCCCCGGGCGCGGCAGGCCGCAGCGCCGCTGCCTCCCCGGGCTCTTCCTGCTCCGTGTCCTCCGCGCTGTCCGCCGCCGCCTGCCCCGCCCAGACGTCGTGCCGTGGCTCTCCCTGCTGCTGTGCCAGTGCTTCTTGCACTCAGCACCCAGGGTCCTGATATCCTCGTGCTTCCCTCGCTTCCGCTCGACGAGCGGGTACAGGGACCGCTCTCTTCTTCGGCAAGGACCAGTGGAGCAGCTAGCGTTCCAAGAGCAGGTCCAGCAGTTGCGCATCGCTCGTCCATACCAGGTCCGCCTCCGCCAGGGGACTGGTTTGGTCAAATCTGTGGGTCGCACGGTCAAGGCCGTCAGTCCTCCTCTTGGAGTGCTGCGGACGACCATGCCGTGCATCGCCGTTTCAACACATGGAAGCGCCTGTCCTCTTCCTGGACCGTCAGTGACGCCCTCGAGAGCCAGCGTGTTGTGAAAGGAACCGATCCCTCCTCTGTTCCAGTGGATCGCCCCATGTCGCCTCCATTGATGCCCCGTCGCTCTCCCAACGAGAGTGATGCCAGCTGATGTGCTCTCGCTGCTCTTGCTGTCAGTTCTGGCGTTATGCAGGCTAGTCCTTCCTTTCAGCGGGCTAAGAGCTTCGCTGACGAGCAGTTTCGCCGCGGTTCTTTCGGTCCCAACCCTCCTCTGTGCCTGCTCCTGTGGGTCGCCCCCGATCGCACTCTAGATCCCCACGTTTGCAGAGCACGGCCGATAGGTGCCGCCGCTCCACAGCAACTGACCAGGAGTTTTCTCCCCCCCACGAGCACTGGTTGCTAGAAAACCACTACGTTAATGTTAGGGCTCACCAGGAGTTCAGGAGTTGACAGAGGTCACGTGTCGCTCAGGCTCGTGGCTTGGTTCGTCTTTGTATGCAGCCTGGCTTTGCGTCGACGGTTCATCTTTGCACTGCAAGATGTTCTCCTTAGCTGACGCTCATGCAGTGGCAGCGTCCGAGCTGGTCGCTGTTTCTTTCTTGGTTGGTTTCAGGCCTCTTCGACAAGTTGCAGTTGCAGTGCTTGTGTCCGCTTCCTTCCTTTTCCCCTCCCCTCCCGACTGGGTTGGCGCACGCCTTCTCGGGCTTTGACGCCTCCCATGGCTCTTCACCCTGGCTGGCCCAATGCAGGTTTCAATCGTGGCAGTGGCCGCCAAGTGTCTTGGGTGTGATGTCACGCCTTTCTGCTTTTCACTTGCCTGGGTGAGGGGCGCTCGCGCGCAGGCTTTCTGTTGCGCGTGTGTTGCGACCGATGCGTTTCATGCGTGTGCTGATGTACAGTTGGACGATGGTTTTCATTCCGATCCGATCGGATACCCCCCTCCTCTCTTCCCCTCCCACCTATCTCCCATCCCGCCTCCCTCCCTCCCTCGTCCCTCCTCGTCCCTCCCTCGTCCCTCCTCGTCACTCCTCCTTCCGTGCTCCCTCATGCGCCGTCCTCCTCGTCTGGAGGCTTTCGCCGACGCTCTGGTCCGCCTTTTCCGCTACCGCGTTCTCAGCGCCTCCTTTCCGCAGCAGATGTGGATGATGACACCATGTGTCGATTGGTCGGGGATCCCAGGCGCAGGAGGGAATCAACCGCAGTCGCTCATTCATGGGCAGTTGCCAGCCCCGACAACTGGGCCCCGTGAACAAGATGCAGGACAGGACGTCGGTTTCTGCCCCTTCTTGGGCCCCGGGGCCCCCACGGATCGATCTGCCGGGAGAAATCCCGCATAAAGATAGAGGCCGAGAACGCAGGTCGTGTTTTTTGTTTCTCCCTCCCGGGAGCACCGAGGAAAGTCTTATGTTGCTGATGAAGGTGACGGTGTTGCTGCTAATGATGATGATGGTTATGATGAGTATGATGATGATTCTGATGATAATGCTGATGATGCTGCTCATGATGATGTTGATGATGCTGCTGCTGATGACGATGATGGTGGTGATGGTGATGGTGATGGTGATGGTGGTGCTGCTGATGATGATTATGATGATTGTGATGATGATGATGATGATGATGATGATGATGATGATGATGATGATGATGATGATGATGATGATGATGATGATGATGACGGTGGTGATGGTGGTGATGTTGAGGAGGAGGGGGAACAGGAACAGTGTGAATCCAAGACGCGTCAGCGATGCTGCAAGAATTCCTCCCTCAAAGTTCCCCTTCAATAGGCCTCTACATGACTTGATTTTCACTGCGTGGAGTGCCTCATTGAAAGACAACCGTCTGAGAATGGTAGATCTTGGCCGATTGCAATACCTAACACTTCTACGCTGTGAATCACCGTGACTGTTGCGTCATGACACTTTATACATCGTGTCATAACATTTCAAGGATTTCGACACAGCGGATCAAGTTGATTGTTGCGTCCAGGCAATCTTGAATTGTGCCGGACTGCAGTTTCTGGGACTTGATCCATACGAGCCCTTGAGACAGTTGCAAGTTTCCAAGACGAATGTGCGCGGCGCTAAGGCAAGAGCCACACGGAGAACAAAACACTGCCCTGCAATCTTGGAGCCGTTCCAACATTTTCAACCGAATGTGCGCGGCGCGAAGGCGAGAGCCACAATTTGAAACGTACCCGCCCTCCATTTTTGAAGCTGCTGCAAACTTTTCACACGAATGCGCGCGGCGTTAAGGCGATAGCCATCTTTGGAAAACCACTCACCTTGCATCTTTGAAGCTGTTGCAAATTCTTTACGCTTCGCGTATCCCCACCAGCCCATCTCAAAACAGCAACTCTTGCGAAGCATGCCGACAGTCGTGTTTTTCAGGCGTGTTTCCGCCTGCCCCCGCATATCTCCCCTGTTCCTCCTTCCTCCCGCCTCCTTGTACATCCTCGGAGCGGGAGAAGGATGAGGCGGAGGAGGAGGGAGAGAAAGCGCTTCTCGTGGTTTGAGTCGTTTGGGGTTTCTCGTCCTGGTGTGAGTCGTTCGGGCCCTTCTTCCTGGTGTGAGTCGTTCGGGCTCTTCGTGGTGTGAGTCGTTCGGGCTCTTCGTCCTGGTGTGAGTCGTTCGGGCTTCTCGTGGTGTGAGTTGTTCGGGCCCCTCGTCCTGGTGTGAGTCGTTCGGGCCCCTCCTCCTGGTGTGACTCGTTCGGGCTCCTCGTGGTGTGAGTCGTTCGGGGCCCTCGTCGTGGTGTGAGTCGTTCGGGCTCCTCGTGGTGTGAGTCGTTCGGGCGCCTCGTCCTGGTGTGAGTCGTTCGGGCCCCTCCTTCTGGTGTGAGTCGTTCGGGCTCTTCGTGGTGTGAGTCGTTCGGGCCCCTCGTCCTGGTGTGAGTCGTTGGGGCTCCTCGTGGCGTGAGGCGTTCGGGCACCTCGTCCCCTTTGGGGCGTCTTGGGGGCCTCTTGGCGGCCCCAGGGGCTTCTAGGAGCGTCTTGGGTGCCTTGGGGGAGCCTCTTCGGGCCTCTTGGGAGCCTCTTGGAGGCCGTTTGGGGCGTCTTGGGGGCTTCTTGGCGGCCCCAGGGGCTTCCAGGAGCGTCTTGGGTGCCTCGGGGGAGCCTCTTGGGGCCTCTTGGGGGCCTCTTGGGGGCATCTTGGGGGCCTCTTGGAGGCCTCTTGGGGGCCTCCTGGGGACCTCTTGGGGCCATCTTGGGGCCTCTTGGTGCCTCCTGGGCGCTTCTTGGGGCCATCTTGGAGGGAATCGATCAAAGAAGAGGGGAGCTCTAATGAGCGCGGCCCCCTCATAAGGGCAAAATGAGGCCAACACCTTCGTAAAATCAATGATTTTGCCTTGAAAGAAGAGGAGAGCTTTAAGGAGCGCTGCCCCCTCAGAAGGCCAACATGGGGCCAACACCGTAGTAAAATAAATGATTTTGGCTTCAAACTTTGCATCTTTGAAGCTGTTGCAAATTTTGATGTCCAGGACCATAAATGGCGAGGAGGTCTCGGGCGAAACGCTCGGCTCGCCCTACCGACACGTCTGGGGTTTGGGCAGGAGGGTAAGGACAGAGGATGTGGGATGATGGGGACGAGGCTTGAGGAGGATGAGGCTTGACAATGAATGCGATAAGGGTAATGACGGCGCCAGCGGCCCGCGCAAGGCCGCTGCGCAGGGCCGCCGCGCCCTCATGCGCAAGACCAACTTGCGACCGTTTTTTTTTCTGCGGGGGGGGGCCTTGTTGGCCCCTGGGGACGAGGGCCCCAGGACCGTCAACATAATGACATGGAAGCACAAACCCAGCCCCCAGGAATGGATCCAGATGTTGATGTTGTTGTCCTTGTTGTTGTTGTTGTTGTTGTTGTTGTTGTTGTTGTTGTTGTTGTTGTTGTTGTTGTTGTTGTGGTTGGTGTTGTTGTTGTTGTTGTTGTTGTTGTTGGTGTTGTTGTTGGTGTTGGCGTTGGCGTTGGTGTTGGTGTTGTTGTTGTTGTTGTTGTTGTTGTTGTTGTTGTGGTTGTGGTTGTGGTTGTGGTTGTGGTTGTGGTTGTGGTTGTGGTTGTGGTTGTGGTTGTGGTTGTGGTTGTGGTTGTGGTTGTGGTTGTGGTTGTGGTTGTGGTTGTGGTTGTGGTTATTGTTGTTGTTGTTGTTGTTGTTGTTGTTGTTGTTGTTGTTGTTGTTGTTGTGAAAGAGTCACGACGTCGGGGTCCGAGTTTCTTCGCCGCCGCCGATGCTGCCTTTTCTCTTGGCGTTGCGCGCAGGGGGCGGGGCGAGGGGGGTTGTCATCGATCGGCGGCGCGTCGAGGGGAGAGGTGAGCGGGGGCATGCCTTCAGGAGGAGGAGGAGGAGGAGGAGGAGGAGGAGGAGGAGGAGGAGGAGGAGGATAACAAGGAGGAGGAGGAGGAGGAGGAGGAGGAGGAGGAGGAGGAGGCGGCGGCGGGGCTTCGGAGAAGTCTCCGAAAGCTGAGCAGACCGCCAGGGGCGTTCCGAGCCTGAGGCCCGCGCCCTCTGCCTCCCCCCCTGGGCGCGCCGCCTGCCCCAAGAGCCAGCGGCTCGAAGCATTCGGGCTGAACGAAGCGGGGGGATTGGGGAACGGGGGGGTTACGACACCTGCTGCATGCAGCTGGTTTCGGCCCCGCCGCCGGGCCCATTCCTCAGTACATGGGCGCCTCCGGGCGCCGGGAGGTGTTGGGAAAATCAGCTACGTGAGCCGATTCTCTACCCAACCCTGTGCTGTCCCCCCCTTTCGTTGCCCCCGAAACATGTGCCTGTCCCTAAGATTGGCCTTGCCTTCTATCAGTGCCGATCCTTCGGATCTGCTCAGTTTCTGAAGGCGCATCCCGCAAGATTGCCGTCGGACTGGGCCCGCCCATCTCAGGGATAGAGGCGAGGTCGGGCCTGGTCAGAGAACGCAGGGGACTTCCCTGGGAGTCCTCCTGCCCTCTCAGAAGCCTCCGCTTGCTCCTGGGCGACACTCAGCCCTTGCAGTAGGCCGCCGCACCTCCTGTGCGCGCCGCCAATTCCCCCCTCCGTGCCGTCGCTCGGTTCGAGGTCCCTGCGCAGGACTCGAGCACCAGCCCCCCGCGCGCACCGGCGCGCCTAGAGCTCCAGACGGCGACCACAAAGGGTTATGGTTACGCCGGGGTGTGGTTTGCGATCGGCACCGTCGGGGCCTGGGGGGCACGACACTGACCTCGTCGGGCCTCCTCGGGGCGCGGCGGAAAGCTCTATCGAGGTCCTCGCCCGCCCCCAGGGTGCCCCTCACGGTGCCGGTTGCAAACCACACCCTTTGCAGACCATGCCTTTCGGAGTCGCCGATCCAGACCCGCCGCCTCTCGCGGCCGGAACCTGCCTGCCGCCATGGGCGGGCACATGCGGCTGTGGCACCCCAAGTGGTTCTCGCGCTACCTCTGGGGCTTCGTGGGCTCCCAGGGGCGGCGCGCAAGGGGGTTCTGGCTAACAGGGGGGGGGACATCCCACCCCGAATCGCCTGCTCATCGCTGGTCGGGGCTTGACTGCCCCACCCTGCCCAGGAACGTGTGGCTTCGCTGTCGAGGGCCTGTCGCCGACCTGCTGGCGATGTACCGTCGTTTCCAGGCCCGTAATCACCGTTGCCCCTTTAGAAGTTGCTTCGGGACCTGTGTTGAAGCGCGCTCTCATCAGGACTTCAGGGCAAATTCAGCCGTGGCCACGAGGACCCCTCCGAGCCTCCCAAATTTTCAGAACCTTCCGACAAGCTACCAGGCGACGCACCCCCCAGACCCCCAACGTCATGATCTTTCACGACGTTGTCCCCTGGATCCCTCGACCCATTCCCTGGGACCAGTTTTTCCATCCCGAGTAGTTTTCTGACGGTCCTGGGGCTCGGCGAGGGACCCCAGAGCCCGAACACAGCCAAAAACCTCCCGCCGTGATTTTTCGACGGCGCGAAGGGGTCTGGACCCTTTCGTTCCCCCCCAGGCTCGGCGCAGCTGATGGGCTTCGCCGCGGACCAGAGCTACGGCATCAACCGCGCGAAGAACCCCGAGGTGCTCTGGCCCTGGTGGCACGAGATCATGCGCAAGAAGGAGCGCCAGTGGTGCGCACGAGGGGACAGGGCGAGGGGGGGCGGCCTCCTCCCCGGACCTCCATCGAGCCAGGCCTCCTGGGTGGGGTCCGAGCAGGTGGGGTCTGAGGATCGCGCCGCATCGCCGATGCATCGGCGATGCGGCTCGATGTGGAGCCCGATGAACTCCACGCCGACGACGCCGATGCATCGCCGACGTCTCCGGTGCATTGCCGACGCATCGCCGATGACTCGCCGATGCGTCGGCCATGCGGCGCGATCCTCCGACCCTATCTGGTCGGACCCCATCCGGGAGGCCCGTCATCGAGGAAACGCAAATCCCAGATTCCCTCGCGTCGTGAAAGAATCAAGACCACAATTCCTTTGCGGTTTTCGGTCTTTGGGGGCCCTCGTTGGCCGGGACCGCCAACAGAAACGACTCAGGACGAAAATCTGGTCCTGGGGAACAGGTCGAGACCTCTGGGAATCCACTTTGTGAAAAATCACCACGTCGGGGATCTGGGATTTCGGCACGTGGATAAACAACAGGTCCCGCTTCCATGCTAAATCGAATCGCTCCGTCGGCTAATTTGTCGGCCACTGGCTTCATGTTTCGTTGGGTTGGTTTCCCCGACCCGTGGGTCAGCATCCTGAACAAATGGAGGCCGATGCTTTTCGCATGTTTCGGCCTCGGTGGGCCGTTCTCGGCCCATGACAAAACGGCTCGGGACGAAGACTGGGCCCCGCAAGCAATCAAACGCGACATCGGAGGTCTGAGTACGAGCCCGTCCCCCCGCCTTTTAGCATGTCGTCGAAGAAGAAAAAACCACATAGACATAAACTTTTGGCGCTCCGCGCGGGTTTCTTGGATCCGCGTCTCGGCCCCCTGGCGGCGCTTCCGGCGCCGACCCTGGCGCGCTCCGCGCGCCAGGGAGGGGGGTCCAGACGCGATTCCAAGAAATCCGCGCGGAGCGCCACCAGTTTGTGCTTGTGTTTTTTTTTCATGTTTTTTTTTTTTTTTTTTTGTTTTGTTGTTGTTTCTTCTTCTTCTTCTTCTTCTTCTTCTTCATCTAGGTCGGGCAGGGGCTTTCAGGGGTGCCTTTTGAGAGGTTCCCCGTCCTCCCCGGGGCCCGCCCCTCGCGCCCTGGTCGGGTTCTCTCCCCACCTCTCTCTCTCTCCCTCCCTCGACCTGGCAGCACGTCCTCCCGTGCCGCGGGCCCTCCCTGGGGTCCCGACACCTGCCAGGAGGGCTGTTTTTCCATCCGGGGGGAGTTTTTTGGCGGCCCCCTGGGGCGGGAAGCAGCGTCTCCCTCTCCTTCCCGCTCTCCGCGGGCGCCCTCCTCCCCGCCCTTCCCCCCGTCTTGCAGCCGGACGCTCCGTGCCGTGCCGTGGTCCGATCCCCTGGAGCGCGCGAGCAGGTTGCCTCCGCCACGCTGCGACGTAACGGCCGGGACGGGAAACGGGCCTCAGGGGCCGAGAACGCAGAAAGGCATGCCGTCACGATTTCTGGTTGTGGCGCCCGCCTCTGAGGGTCTGCTCGCCGCCGGCAGGAGAACGGCGAGATCCCGATGGACATGCCGGGCTACATGCTCACCAAGTACCGCAATGAGTCCGAGCAGCGCTGGAGCGCGGAGAAGGAGGAGAAGTTCGGGGAGTTCATGAACGCCATGAGCGCGGAGGAGGAGTGAGCCGGCCCTGGCCCAGCTGCCATAGGATCGAGGATCCTCAGGACGTGTGCTAGCCCAACGTGTGTCTATCCCGTGTAGCTCCACCGACAGATCACTATGCAGCCTGCGCCGTACTGAAAGTCTTCGGTGGACAAGCACACGTTGGCGATAACACACGTTCTGAGTATCATCGAGAGGAGGCCAGTGCAACATATGATTTACTATTCCTTCTCCTCTTCCTCTTCCTCCTCCCCAGGCCTCCAACGTCTTGAGACAATCACAACACTGGTCTCTCATCGTTTTTGGGCCGTTTCTGGCCCTGGGACAGTCTAGAAGCAGTCCGGCATGAGGAAGCGGTCCCTGGGAAATGGCCGAGATGTCCGGGGAACCCGTATTGAAGAAATCAAAACATTTGAGGTCTGGGTCTTTCTCCACCCCAACGTCTCGGATTGAGTCCGAGGGTCGGTTGCTGGCTGACGCTGCCGCCTTTCATTAGCCATCCCCGCGACCTGGAAGGTCAAAAAGTCTTTCGCTCCTTGCAAGGGAGGGGCGGGTGGGAGAACGGTCATCGTAAACGTTCAGTGCCGATTCGGGATGGATGTAGGATGGCAGCGACCACGTAAACATAGGTGCAACATGTGATCTGCAAGATTATGCGAAAATTGGCAGGTTGTGATCTATTGATTGCGTGATTCACGCTGCCGCGTTGGCCTCTCTGGCGCATTTACCTCGTCCGTGTGTTTTTGAGCAGCATGAGGTATGGTCTGCGCGTCGCCGCGCGCTCCGCGTCGCCGCGCGTTCTACTCTTCGCACTGCTTATTTGCACTCGAGCTGCGATTTGCGGCGCTGGTTGATGCGCCCGTCCGGGACGTTGAATATTCTCATTGGGGCCGCACAGTGGTCGGACGACGATGGGCAGGTCTTAGCGACGCGTCATTTGTGCCCGCTGATTGACGGGTGAATGTAGTCCCCAAAACAATGTTGAGGCGCCTGCGGGGACGAGTTAGTGTTTTCCATTGTGTCATTCCTTTTTATATTGGAACATGGGTGTACAGGTTTTGAGTGAGATAGCAAGAGGCCCGCGGCATTGACATACAGCAGGAAAGCGTGCGGCCGCCCGAACCATCAAGTGACATAGTACCTCTTGAAAACCTGTTCTGGGAACTCCGTGAAACAGCGGTTTCGGATTTCCCTTGTAATCCATCCCGCCCGCGCTTTCCGTGCCAAGCTGGCGCCCCTGGGCCCCTCGCCCCCACCGTCGCCACTCCTCTTCCTACCTCGCCGCCCTGCAGCAGCCAGTTTGACCTCGACCATGTTGGTGGCGCTTGTTTCCACAGATCGTTGGATCAAGTCTCGCGGTGTCGACATTGCGACGTGAAGCATCCCCGGGGACAGATCGCCTCCTCGGGGTATCACTTCGTTTCTGAAGCGTGCGAACACATGTTGGCGGCCTCTGTACGACTCCCCCGTCTGCGCGCCTGGCCCCGTCGGCGCGCGTGCCCATGCCGCGTGCGCGGGCCTGGCACCCAGCCCCAATACCATGTGCTATGGATGCTTATGGCGTCTCCTCGTTCACACGCGCAAGCACTTGTGCGTCGCGGCCACGTGCGCGGCGGCGCGGCGTAGGGCAAGCCGAGCGAGCGACACGCACGTACATACACGCGCACACATGCACTCACGTGCGTGCACACAACATGTTCAATATGGAAGTATCCTCATAACTCTGTGTGTGTATATATATATATAGATGTATTTGCACGGCCCATATCTACACATACGTGTCTACGCGTATACATTGTGCATACATATAACGTGTGTATATGTGTGTATTCGCCCTCTCTCGGCCTTGACGTGAGGCCCCGCCTTCTTTTGCTCCCCTCTGCTAATTAAAGCTGTGCGCGGCCCGCTTAGCTTCTATCGGAAGAGGTTCGCTCTCGCTCCGCAGATCAAACGATATGTGTGTGTGTGTATATGTGTACACATGTGTTATAAGTCCGGCCCGCCCCATCACGGCGGTCAATCCGCTTGCGTTCTTTGTCCCCCCCTCGGGGAGGGGATGAGTGAGCACTGATACCAGAGGCAGGAGGAGGAGGAGGAGGAGGAGGAGGAGGAGGAGGGACCATGAGGATGATGAGGAGAAGGAGGACGAGGAGGAGTGACGAGGAGGAGGAGGAGGAGGAAGAGGAGGAGGAGGAGGAGAAGGAGGAGGTGGAGGAGGAGGAGGCGGAGGTGGAGGCGGAGGCGGAGGAGGAGGAGGATGATACTGAGGAGGGATGATCTGCAGATGAGAGAGAGAGAGAGAAGCATAGAGAACGAGGGGAGAGAGTTTGCGGCAAGCTAGGTGCCCCACCCGCCCATCCCTTCCCAGTGCGCCGACGTGTGTTCTATCCAACGACGGATGCCCCAGCGGACCTGGATCCCCCAAGCGACCCATTTTGTGATGCGGAATCAGAAAGGGGAGCTGTGTACGTCGTCGTCGTCGTCGTCGTCGTCGTCGTCGTCGTCGTCGTTGGAGTCGGAGTCGGAGTCGGAGTCGGAGTCGGAGTCGGAGTCGGAGGAGGAGGAGGAGGAGGAGGAGGAGGAGGTAGCGGATGTGCAGGAGGACGGGCAGGAGGGAAAGGAGGAGGCTCAGGAACGAAGATGATGAGGAGGAGTTGGAGGTGGAGGAGGAGGAGGATGATGATGATGAGGAGGAGGAGGAGGAGGAGGAGGAGGAGGAGGAGGAGGAGGAGGAGGAGGAGGAGGAGGAGGAGGAGGAGGAGGTGAAAGAGGAGGAGGCGGAGGCGGAGAATTCTACGCAGCCTTCGAGCGACCGCGCCAGCCCAGGGCCAGTGACTCGAAGCGCTGCTGGCGCTGGGGCGCGGCCGAACCACTCAACGGGGCCCAGCGCCAGCGCCACTCGGATGACACGACGTCGCACCTGGGCGGGAGGGCCAAGGGTGCGACAGGCGGATGCCAGCGGCCGCCAACACCACGGGACGAGCCCGCGAGCCCGCGTGGTCAGGGATTCTGTTCTTCTTAATGATCATGGGAGCCTCCCTGGCCCTGGTAACACAACGAAGGCGTAGCCTAAGTGAGGCCCCAGTTTTTGCATTAGGGAGATGTCATATGGGTGGTCGTGGTGCTTCATCTGCGGCATCGACCCCCCGTCTCCAGTGTTGTGGGCCTCCTCACGGGGGCCCCCTCTCGAAGGGTCATGGGCCCTCTCGTTGCGAGGGGGAAAATGCGTTCCCCACAGGAGCTTGTGGGAAAAAAACACACACACACAGTTTGTGGGGAAAAGCACACAGTGTTTTTTTTTTGTTTTTGTGTGTGTGTGTGTGTTTGTGTGTGTGTGTGTGTGTTTGTGTGTGTGTGTGTTTTTCCCACAGCGTGTGTTTTTTCCAACAAGCTTTTGGGCAACAGGTGATCGCAACGGGCTCCCACCGTGCGCCCAGAGCGCCCAACGGGCCCGCCGCGCCCCCTCGCGCGCCCGCGGCGCGCGCCCCTCTCTCGCCAGCGGGGCAGCGCCGCGCGCCCCCTGGGCGGGGGCGGCGCGGCCATGTCGGGGGCCGGCGCGTGGCTCGGGGAGGACCCGCGGAGGAAATTGTTGGCGCGGGCCCTCCGAACGGATCTCTCGGATCGGCGCGGCCCCCCCTTCCCCCTGGCGTGCGGAGCGCGCCAGCGGCGGCGCTGGAGGCACCGCCGGGGGGCTCTGGCGCCGATCCACACGGGGCCCACGAATGCATCATACTACCACCACCACCTTCCCCCCTTCCTTTCCCGGGAGGGAGCGAAGAGAGCGGAGAGTGGAGGAGGGAGGAAGGGGGAGTGGAGGTGGTGGTGTAAGTTCTTGGGGCGGAATCCGCGCGGAGCTCCGAAAGTCTATGTTTGTGCTGTTTGTTTGCTCCTCCGAGGACCGCTCCTGGCTGCTGGGCGGCTCAGTCTCGGAGCCGCGGTCCTCCGGGCGCTGCGCCGTGGGGCTCGGGGCTCCTCTCCTCCCGCGCGGGCGAGGGCGGCTTCCGCGGCGCGCGCTCCCAAAGTTCCGATGGTCTTCGCTGCCCTGGTACGCCCGTGTTGAAAAACGCAGCACGTGCCGTGTTCAGAACGTCGGTGTCAACGCGCTGCGTGTTGGCTCGGCACGTGTAGGCCCACGTGTTGGCGAACGCATCGCGCCAGACCTACGTTTTTTTCAGTCTATTTGCGTGTTGCACTCCGTGTCAATACGCTAGGTGTTGCGTGTTGTGTATCGGGGCAGCTGAGCCAATGGTCTTTTGCCAGAATTCGGCTTCTGTGGGCCGTCTTCGGCCCCCAGAACAATCAAACGCGGGTCGGGGACGAAAGACTACCCGCAGGGAAGGGGTCGGGACCCCTGGGGCCGTGCATCGAACAGATCTCATCGTTGGATGCCTGGTCTCCTGGACTGATCCAGCTCGAAATATGCCGTGGGGTGATTGCGTCGAGGGCTCCAGTCTTGATCTTGGGCGATGCCTCGATTTGTTTCGCGACGTCGAATCTCAGGGGGTCGGTCCCAGATGCAGCTCCTTGAACGTTTTTCAAGGGGCTTTCCTTCCCAAGGCAACCCCCAAACTCACCACCCACCAAACCACCCCAACCCAACCCGAAGGCTTCAATTTGCCTTCTATTTCCAGTGGGGGGGTGTCCAGGAAGATTGAGAAAACACACATGGAACTCGTACTCCCCCAACCCGATATTCGGGTCTTCGGGTTGGGTTGGGGTGGTCTGGTGGCCAGTCAAAAGCGGCAGAACCCGAAACTTTCGGAGGCCCTGCGGATGTCGTGGGTGGGCGCTGGGCCCCCCTCGCCACACCCGCCCGAATGTCCTGACCCAAACACAGACGACGCCACCCCACCTGCGGCCCTCCATGCTTCGCCACGGCCCATCGGGGGCCGTTGCGCACACCATGCAAAGGCCCACGCCAGACGTCCTGGCATACGCTGCGGCCCGTGGGGCCGTAGGCGGGGTGGTGCCGTATGCTTTCTGGTCCACGCAAGTCCTGGCCAGAGCGCGGCCCAGGACAGGTCCCCGGGGGGGCGGGGGCGGCCTCGAGGGAGGGGTGGCCTCCCGGAGCTCTGGGCGTCGCGAGCACATGCGCGACTCGCTTCTCTCTCGCGTGAGCTTCGGTGTCTTGGGGCTGTCCTCGGGCCAGGGGGCGCGCAAAGGGTGGCCCGCAGCGGAGAGCCTGCCCTGGGGGCGGGGTCGATGGGGGTGGGGTCGATGAGGTTTTTGGTTGCTCGCGTGAGCGTAGTGTTCTGACGTGTTCGGCCTTCGCAAGGCCATTGTCTGCTGACTTCGGACATTCGTGGGGTCCCCCTCTCTCTCTCTCTTGTCTGGTGGCGCCTCCTGGAGTTTCCACCGGATAATTTTGGGTCACGATCGGTTGCTTTCAGGTCCTATCAAGTTTTTTTGGTTGTTACAGTGTTTTGCTGTTGGGGGGATTTTCTGAGCAAATGAGGTCTTCTTATACACTTTTTATGCACATTTATACACATGTACAGGTTTTTGGCGCTTCGATGTATTAACCAGTATTGGGCACTGTGGCTTCAAAGGAGGGATGTTCTTGGGAGCATCTTTCGGCACTCGTGGAAGCCTCTGCGGTGGGCCTCTTTGGCCTGTCTCAGGGTCTCGTCGGGAGCTCCTGAGCTCTTTGGGCATCACGGTGCACTCTTGGTGACCTCTTGGGGCGCCTCTGGGCCGCCTCGGCGACCTCCGCGAGCGCCCTCGGTCCTTCTGGTGAGCCCTCGGTGGCCCCAGGGCTGCTCCCGGGCCGCCTCTGGCCTCTCCCCCCGAGCGGCCGCCTGGAGGACGAGCGCCTGCAAGGAGCCCTCGGCCTCCTGGAGGCGGGGACGGCGACGAGCCAGGGCGGCCTCGGCTGCCTCCGCGCCCCGCCCTTCGCGCAGACGTGGGGCCTGCGCTGGTGGGCGTGTTCTCCACCACCACCACCATAAGTGGGAGGGGGAGGGGGTCCTCCTCCTCCTCCTCCTCCTCCTCCTCCACCTCCTCCTCCTCATCTTGCCCCTCCTCCTTCTGTGAGGGTCCCAGGGCCTGGCGAGGGCCCGAAGAGGCCGACAATGGCCAAAAGCAGTTCGTCGTGCTTCTTTCACGACGCGAGGGGGTCTAGGAAGGTCACTCTTGCCCATATGAGCCATGACCTGGCACCCATACCTATGCAACCTCAAGATTTCTCGGGGTGCAATTTCTAGGGGGAGGGCCTCGGGCGTGGGCTGTCGCGTGGGGGTTCCCGCTCGAACGCGAACCCCCCTCGGGGTCCGACACCTCGCACCCCTACCTGTAGCACCTTCACCTTGCCCTTCCCCGCTCCTCTTCCCCATAGGTCTGAGTGTGTTTTGGTCTTTCTTCGCCTGGCCGTTCCGCTCTGCAACGGCTAACTCTCCACTGGCCAACCACCTCTGCTCCTCCGCGGTCGCCCTCTTCTCCTCCGGTTTGCCCAGGCGCCCCGCCCCTGGCGCGCCCCGCCCGTACGGACCCTCGCGCCTGCGTCCAGAGGCCGAGGTCTTGGGACAGCGTCCGGAGCGAAGACGTCGTATCGTCGCAGATCTGGGCACGCCGGCGCTACCGACTAAAGCACATCACCGTCTTTCGTCACGTCGGCACCACCCCAAGCCTACTTGCACCATGTGCATCGGCCGCGCAGGGGCGACGTGCGCGCTCGAACATCTGATCGTAGAAGCTCCGATGGCGGGCGCGCCCTGGCCATGCTACAGGGCTCTGTGCCACATGTTCGGGTCGGACGTGCGCCTCCAGCAGGGGCACATCGTGCCACCATGGCCTTGGGCGTCCCATCATGCCCAGGGCCTGCGCACGGCCGAGCAGAGCGGCGGGGGGGGGGGACGGGCGACGCCGACGGGTGCCGCGGGCGCTTCCGCGCGGCCCGCAGGAGCCCGCCGCGTCGCAGGGCGCCGCGCGCCGCGCCCGCGGCGGGGCCGCGGCTGGCGCCGAGAGGGAGGAGGCTGCAGGGGGGGCCCGGGAGCCTGCCTCGGTGGGGTAGATCGTTAGAAGGCGGCTGCTTTTCAGAACGCGCGGGCCTCATCTTAGGTGTAAGGCCGGCGCCTTCTAAGACGCAGCCTCGCCCTAAGAAGCCTCCCCCCCTCCCCCTTTCCCCCTCTGCGCGCCGCCAAGTGCAGCTCGGCTTGGTGTTGTTTGGGGGTCCGAGGTGGCCCAGCATTGGTTCTGGCCAGCAGGAGGGGGGGGCAAGCTCGGGGCGCCGAGTTCGGGAAGGTTTCTTCCCTTTTTCGGCCCCCAGGGGCCGTTTTCGGGCCCCGAGGCCACGAAGAAACACGGTTTCGGGGTGACGAATTGCACCAGATGGAGCCCAGGAGGGGTTGGGGGACAGATTTGGAGCGGGTTTGGTTTCATCGTGGAGCCCTCCTGGTTCGGTTACGCCTGGTTCGGGTGCGGCCAGGAGCTTTGGCTTCGCGAGCCGCGCTGCCGGTTCTGGCCCACTACGCTTCGGCGCGGCACGCCATTCATTGCCCAGTCACCAGGCGTCGACGTCCCGAGCATTGCCCAGCCTTCAGCCCGAGCGAGACGCTATCCGCTCGCAAGGGATGGCGTGTCGCCAGGGCCGCCGCCGCGACACGCTATCCAAAAAGCGGCAGCGGGGTACGGAAGCCAGCCTGATTCGGCTAGCTCGACCCCAGTCGGGGCGGCCAAGAGGGGGGTCATGACTAGGGGGAGGTGGATATCATGGGTGGGGCCATGCTGTCTCCCTGGATTTCATGGCCCCTCTTCTTGTTTCAATGCGTCCCTTGCTCCCCCTCCGAGGCGGCACACATGCCTCGAGCCATAATCTGTGACCCCCCTCTTGGACGCCCACCTCTTGGTCGCTCGCGGCCCAGACCTCGAGGTCTTCGGACGTTTTCGTCGATGCTCGGTGGTTTCCCAGCCATGGGATGCTCTCCAGCAGCTGCGCCTCGCCGAGAGCGTTCCAGGAGTGCCCGAATCGCCCCGAACGGCCGACGATGGGACTTCTTTCAATCTGGGGCGTTTTTCTTCGATTTCGGCCGCTGGAGGCCGTTGTTGGGCCCCTGGGCCATCAAAAACGGATCTGGTACGCAGCACTACCCCCAGGGACGGGGCCAGGGTGGTGGTGGGGCCGAGGGCCCAGACCCCCTCGCGTCGCGGTCTGGGAGATGGGTCTGGGCAGTGGACCGGTCGGAGGATCGCGCCGCCTCGCAGATGCGTCCGTTGTGCGGCACGGTCTGGAGCCCGTGCCTCTCCAATCTGACCTCTCTGGTGCAGTGTGGATGCGTTGGCAGCGCAGCTCGAGTCTCCGACCCCGTCTGTTGCAGCCCTGGCTGGACGGCCTCCAGGTCTTGCCCATGGAGAACAGAAGTGGCACGGCCACAAATTTTCGGAGGTCCTCGCGGACGTCGTGGGTCGGCGCCGGACCCCCCTCCCGACGCCCCCTTTGCCAAGCGTCGCAGGGCGGCCCCGGAGGCGCCGCCAGGCGTGTGGGGGTGGGGAGGTCCCGCGCCGAGCTCCGTCCAGGTTCGTGCTGGTGCTGCTCGCGGGGCTTCGGGGGGCTGCGCCGGCCCAGCCCCTCCCTGGCGAAGGGGGTACCAGGCAGGCCGTCCCGGGCTCAGGGTGTGCTTGGGCGCGGTGCCTCCTCCAGTATGGCCCCTGACAGCACGCTCCCGCCTCGCACCTCTTCGCCCATTCTTAGGCAGTAAATCATGGAAGCCTGTGTCCGCACGGAAGCCTGTGTCCGTCGATGGTGCGTGCATCGGCGAACAGCGCGCAATGGCGCCCAATAGCGCCAAATAGCGCCCCGAGTAGCTCTCACACAGCGTAGCGTCCAATAGCGCCATGCGAGGGAGATCCATTATGTCCGCTTTGCGCGCGATTAGGCACGCTATTGGGCGCCGTGGGGACGACCAGAAGCCTCCGTGAGTTGCTTTCTAACCATTCGGCCTCCTCGGTCGTCCAGGTAAGAATCTCCCTTCATCGAGTAAGAGATCGACTACATAATTGATTTACCCCCGAATTAGTTGTTCCGTAGAATATGCAAGCAATGTGTAGAAGGTTCGTATGCCTATGAACTTGTTTGCTTTCTTTTGTTCTCCTGTGTTTTTGCTCCAGCTTCGCCGAATCTGTCATCTCTGGGGCAAACCACATCTGTAGCCGATCTACTGCAAAAAACAATTCTTGCAGGCAGGCAGGCAGAGGCCGAGCATCGGTGCCGCGCGCCGTGCCGTAGCTGCCCAGGGGCGGGCCCCGGGGGTCCGCCGCCGCTTCTCGAGGGGGGGCTGCACGTGGCACGCGGTCGAGCAGGCCTCGGCCCGAGCCGGTGGGCCGACGTTCGCGGTGCCTCCGCGGGCAGCAGGGGGGGAGGGGGCCGCTGCAGGAGCGCAGAGGGGACGCCAGAGAGGGCGGGGCGGGTGCTATGCAACGCACGCGCGCGCGCGTCGCCTGCTCAGAGTGCGCGCTCGGGGGGTTCCCCCCCCTCCCCCCTCGGAGGAGGAGGAGGAGGAGGAGGAGGAGGAGGAAGAGGAGGAGGAGGAGGAGGAGGAGGAGGAGGAGGAGGAGGAGGATGGAAGAGGATGGAAGAGGAGCCACTCCTCCCTCCCTCCACATCTCACGTCCGACGCGGCCCAGTGCTCGTATGGCGCTGTTGTGCATCCTGGCGCGGCAGATCTGATTCGAGTTCGGTTTCGTGCCGGTGCAGCCCGATCCGACGCAAGTTCCGCATCGATCCGATTTCCCGGTGCGATGCCGACTGATCCTGGAGGGTGTGCTGCAGAATCAGAGGTGGGTGCTCAGTTCCTGGTGGCCCCCCTCGCCTCGGTGCATGGAAGCCCAGGGCGCCCGCAGGGCTCGACAAGATGACACAGCGCCTCGCGAGCTCCGCGGCCTCGGCCAGATCGCCGCCGCGGCCTCCAGGAGCGGCGCGCGAGGGCGCGAAGGTGACGACCGCGCGTGGCGCACCGCGTACCGCGAGGTGCGAGGTCCGGCGGCCTCGGCTCGCGAAGCACGATGCAGCCCCCAGCGCTGATCACATCATGAAGTCCCGCGTAAGGTCGCGCGTGAGCGCCCTCGTCTCCAGTGCAGCGTGCCGCGCCAGTGGCCCGCGTAAGCCGCCGCGTGAGGTCGCTGGGCCATCTTGCGCAAGACCCGTGCCTGTTCCGTCGCTCACGCTTCCCTGAGAGCCTGGGCGGAGGTCGGGCGAGCCGAACCGGGCGGGCTCGACGCCGCCCCCGCCCCCGCGCAGAGGCGCAGGGCGCGTGGCAGCGCCTCGGCGCGGAGCTGCGGTGGCAGCGCCTGGGCGCGGACTTCCCGGAGCTGCCGCCGCCGTTCTGGCTGCCGCGCGTGCATCGGGCGCGCTCCCTCCCGCAGGAAGAACGGGTACTGATCCCCTTCCCTCCGTCCGCGGAGCCTGACGCAAGCTCTTCCCTCGCCGCGTCGGCCCCCCCAGGCCCCCAAGTTTCAGCGTTGATGCCGAAGCACGCGCTTTCGATATTTTCGCTGGCGTCCGCGGACCGTGCCGCGCGCGCAACTGAACATTAAAATTGGGGGCGAGGGGGGGTCAGCAAAACTTGTGTTGAGTTTCGCGAAGTTCGTTTTACCCTTTCTTGGACCTCCTGGGAGGTCCTGGCCGCCACGGCTGGATTCGCCTCGAGATTCTGGTCAGAGCGCACCCGGGGGGAGGTCCGGGAGTAGCGGTGTCGGTGCCTATTGGTTTCCCCCCTCCCCGGTGCAGGAGGGTCGAGGATCGAGGATCGAGGATCGAGGGGCGAGGGTCGAGGGTCGAGGGTCGAGGGTCGAGGATCGAGGGTCGAGGGTGGAGGGTCGAGGATTCGAGGTTCGAGGTTCGAGGGTCGAGGGTGGCGGCTGGAGGGACGAGGTCGAGGGTCGAGGGTCAAGGGTGAAGGGTGGCTGCCGCGCGTGCCGTGGGCGAGCTCGTCCCTGCTTTGGGCGGTGCAGGAGGGTCGAGGGTCTCAGGGGCAACGTCAGGGGGGTGCAGGCTCCTGGGGGGCGACAGGCTCGAGGTTCGAGACTTTTTTTTTTTTGTGGACGTTCTCGTGTGCTCGTTGGTTCCTGGACGTTCTCCAGCCTCGGGATGCGCTCCAGCAGCTGCGCCTCGCCGAGGGAGTGTTGGGGATGTCCCGATCGTCCCGAACGGCCGCCAGAGACCCGAGTTGCGACCCGGAAACCGAGACAAGTCAACGTGATGGGGGGGATAGGCTCAGGGGGAGATGCATCAGGGGGAGATGCATCACCGGCAGTGGCCCGATGGCCCACCCCGTCCAGGAAAGTGTGGGCTCCTTATCGGGCACCTATCGCCGATCTATCGGGGTTGCATCGCCGATTCCACGTCGAGTTCCCCCTCTGATCTGCTCCCCCCATCGTTGCCACTCTCAGTCCAGGGTCTATGGTCGAGGGTCGATGGTCGAGGATCGAGGATCGATGGTCGACGGGCACGAAAAGAATCGGGACGAAAACCGACAGCAGTTCCTGTCCAATCTGAGCAGGACTCGATGTTGGCGTCGCCGCGGACTTTGTCCATCTGATTAAAAAAAGTCGCCTGCACAACAGTGCCAATCTATTCGGTACAAATTTCGGGTGTGTCAAGTCCAGGACCGAGGGCGGAGGGTCGAGGGTCGAGGGTCGAGAATCGAGGATCGAGGGTCTCGAGGGTCGAGGGTGGAGGGTCGAGGGTTCGAGGGTCGAGGGTCGAGGGTTGCGGTTGGAGGGACGAGGTCGAGGGTCGAGGGTCGAGTTCGAGCGTCGAGAGTCGAGGATCGATGGTCGAGGGTCGATGGTGGAGGGTCGATGGTAGAAGGTCGAGAATCGAGGATGGAGGATCGAGGGTCGAAGGTCGAGGATAGGATCGCGGGTCGAGGATCAGGCTTCAGGGTCGAGGATTTAGGGGCGAGGATTCAGTGCTCAGGCTCGAGCATCGAGGATCGAATATCCGATCGGTGGTCGAGGGTTCCCAGGGCCGCAGGGTTCAAGCAACAAAACCGACATGAACACACACACACACACACTCTCACACTTTTTGCGTCGGCGGCTAGGCAGAGTGACTGCGCTGGCGGAAACACACATGAACACACGCACACACACACACACTTTCGAAGTCCCGCGCGGACTTCTTGGGTCAGCGCTGGTCCCCCCTCCGCGCGCCAGGGCAAGGGGGCGGGGGAGGGGATTCTCAGCGCCGACACAGGAGATCCACGGGGACCTCCTGGAGGTGTTATTTTTGATGTTTTGTTGCTCTGTATAAGGTGAGCCCTCAGGTCCAGGGGTCGTGACAAATGTGACGATTGATGTTTTTGCACCAGCTCGGGCCCCCAGAGCCTCACAGGCCGATAGGGCTCCAGAGTGTGCCGCGGACAGGCGGGGTCGTGAGCTCTGGCAGTGACCTTTCACGACGGCGTCCATTGTCACGCCGTCAGATCTTCGGGAAGAATGCGGCACTCCGTCGAGGCTGGTCTTGCATCCTTGCCTGTTCGGCCCATCCTTGGAGAATCTTGTTCGCCAGCTCCTGCGCGTCCTCAAGGTCCCCAAGGCCTCCGGAGGCCTCTGGAGGCCTCGAGGCCGGAAGAGGCCCAAACTTCAGAAAGCTTGGATTCTCGGGATCCAGAAGGGGGAGGAGGATGGTGCCAAGAAGGAGGAGGATGAGGAGGAGGAAGAGGAGGAGGAGGAGGAGGAGGAGAAGGAGGAGGAGGAGGAACAGGAAGTTGGGGAGGGGGAGGAGGAGGATGCGGGGGATGAGGAGGACGAGGAAGAGACCGACGAGGGGTAGGGGGAGGAAGATTCTGATGATGATCATGGCCTCACATATCACCCTTCGGGTGATAAGTTTTTTATTTCTGTTTGGGAGGAGGGAGGGAGGTCGAGTTTGAATTTCGATTTGCAACTCGACTTGGTGTTCAAACTTACGTGACGATTTACGTTTCCATCTGCAATAGTGTTACATTTGTGATTTGCATGCCGATGTCCATTTCGATTCCAATTTGAATTGCATGTGGATTGCCTGTACATTTTCATTTCCATTCGCATATCGTTTGTAATTGTAATGAATTTCGGCTTGCATTTCCCATGGGACAACCGCGGCACATCGACGGGACAACCCACGAGACAACGACAGGGCAACCATGGGACAGCCCACTGGACAACCCACGTGACAACCCAAGGGACAACCGACGGACAACTACGGAATCACCATGGGGCAACCACGGCCAGACCACGGGATAATCACGGGACATATAGGGAACTCTCCACTCACGGGACAATCCACGGGACAATCCACGGGACAATCCACGAGACAACCCACGGGGCAACCCACGGGACAACCATAGAGCAACCCCAGACAACAACAGGGAGAACCCACGGGACAGCCATGGGCCAACCACGTGACAACCATGGGGCAACCATGGGACTACCATAGAATCACCTGTCCATGGGACAACCATGAGACAACCCACGGGGCAACCATGGCATCCCCCGGGACAACCCTCTTGCACAACCAGGGGACAACCATGGGACATCCCACGTGATAACCCACGGGGACAATCCACGGGACAGCCTTTGGACAACAACAACAACAACAACAACAGCAACAACAACAACAACAACAACAACAATCACACCAACAACAACAACAACAACAACACCACCACCACCAACAACAACAACAACACCAACAACAACACCAACAACAACAACAACAACGGGACTACCCGTGGGACAACCCCACGCCCCACCGCGAGATGTCATCCCAACTTCTTGTCCGATTTGGTTTCAGCAGGTGCCCGCACATCATCGCCCTCGCGCAGCTTCGCCTCGCCCGCACGTGCGACACGAACCGAACAGAAACCGATCTCCCTGTTGGGGGCACTTCGCTCTCCCCTCTGCCCCCTCGCCTCTCCCTCCTCTCCCTCCTCTCCGTCTCATCCTGCTTCTGCTCACCGCGCGAGACTCGCAGGCACCCGTGGGGCGAGTCTCGATGCCAATGCAATGCCAAACAACGACTTCCCACAACAACCACCACAGTGGAGAGCAGGCGCACATGTCCACAAGGCGCAGCCCCCGCCATGGTAGGGGGTAGTGGCAAAAGCTGTGGATGAAGGTGGCACCGCAAACACAACTGGCGGCCCTCGAGAGGGCCTGGGCTCGGAGCCTCGCTGCCCCGATGGGGGTCTGGGGCTCGGTTGCTCAGCGCTCTGCGCGCTTCGGCCTGCGCTGGCGCGGCTTGTCCTCCTGTAGCTCGTCACTCCGTCCTCCTGGGCTGCGGAATCTCAACTCCAGCAGCCACTTGAGCAATGAACCATCCACAGTGTGCTGCGCCGTGAAGAGCTTGTGCCCGCGCTTGGTCGCGTGCACCGCCCGCAGAGCCTTCCGAACCCCTCCTTCGTGGACAGCCGATCTGATCCGATCCGTCTTCTTCCTCCTTCTCTTACAGTCGGAGCCCTGAAGAAGGAACCCTTTTCGTTGGGGAGGGGCTCGGTGTTCCTTGCTTGTTCTGCAGTGTACCTTCGGTTCTCCTGAGGTTTCCCATGGGAAATCGAAGGTTAACTTATGGGAGAAAGGGGCCTCGTTCCTTCTTTAGGGTTCCTTAGGTCAACGCCCCGACTGTACTCCCTCCTCCCTTCTCCCCGGCCCCGGCCGCAGGCCAACTCGGACAACCTCCGCAGCGGCCCCACGGGCACCTCGCGCCGCTTCATGTGGCCACCGCCGCTCCGCCAGGGGGGGCGGGCACGTGCAGTCCAACGACGGGCATGCGGAAGAGGAGGAGGAGGAGGAGAAGGAGGAGGAGGAGGAGGAGGAGGAGGGGGAGGAGGAGGAGGAGGAGAGAGAGAGGAGGAGGTCGGGGGGAGGAGAGGAGGAGGGGGAGGAGGAGGTGTCGACCCGTCTACCAGAGGGTTTTTCGGGCGTAGTGTTGATTTCAGGCGGCTGGGATAGAGTCTTGTTGGCCGTGCGTGCTGCTGGGAGGCCAGCTGCACTGCCCAGGACCAGCCGCCTGCCCCACCCTCGTTGGCTGGTTGTTCGCGTCTAGGCGTCGAGGATCCCGTCATCTATGGAGAATCTGGAGAATCAGGAGGAGGAGGAGGAGGAGGAGGAGGAGCATCGAGGTTCGAGGTTATTGGGCGCTCTTCTTGGTCGAGCCTCGGTAGGAGGGAGAGGAGGAGGGGAGGAGCATCGAGCTTCAAGGACCGATTCCTGAGGTGACAGGCGTCAGACCGGTGCACCTGGGGCAGTCAGGAGCAGCACGCACAGCGTGCCGGGACGAGCAGGCCGTGCGGCCCCCCCTCCCCGAGGGTGGATGGCCCGTCGAATCACAGGCACGTTCCTGGATGGGACGGGACTGCTGCGCAGGGTCGGGGTCCGAAGATCGGCTTTTGCGGGTCCTGCGCCGATCTGCAGTGCTCTGCAGCGTTTTAGCGGTTTGCCGCACTCGCCCAGGAACGTGCCGTGCCACTACATGCTGTACGCATGGCGCAGGGGGCGTGGCGCAACGAGCGCCTCACGGCTGTGAAGCAGACGCGCGAGCTGTTCTTCCACCGTCTGCACCCTTCATGCTCTCGCCTCCAGGCGCAAGGTCCCGACCTCCCGATGTGTGACGACAGTGCAGATCAAGACGCACATGTACGGTGTGCTTCCTCCGGCCCTCAGAGAATTGGGACCTCTCACCTGGGCTTACGGCCGCCCTCCCCGCTGAGCCGATCTGCTCTACGCTGAACAAGAGACAACAACAACAACAACCGATGTGCTGTACGCTGTACGTGGTCCTGCAGCGCGTCCAGGACGAGCGGCCAGAAGGCCCCCCCCCCATGGAGGGAGCGACCGGCTTGTCCCGCAGGGAGGGGCCGTGCCTTCCGCCCTGGGCGAGGCCACTGGACGCAGGATGCCCAGCCGGGGAACCTGGTTTCCCGAGAGGCTTGGGTATCGCCATCCCTGGGCCAGGTACCCCTCTGGCGGTGGCGCTGGCGGCAACGGCGGCGGAGCGGAGGACGAGGATGATGATGAGGATGAGGATGAGACTGAGGATGATGATGATGATGATGAGGATGAGGCTGATGATGATGATGCTGATGATGATGATACTGATACTAATGATGCTGATCAGGATGATGATGATGATTATGATGATGCTGTTGATGATGATTATGCTGCTGATGATGATGATGATGCTGATGATGATGATGATGATGATGATGTTGATGATAACGATGATGCTGATCTTGATGGTGATGGTGATGCTGAAGCTGATGCTGCTGCTTCTGATGCTGATGCTGATGACGACGAAGATGATGATGCTGATGCTGGTGAGGATGAGGATGAGGATGGCGATGATGATGGTGATGATGATGGAATGACGACAACGATGATGCTGATGATGATGATGCTGATGAGGATGATGATGAGGATGATGATGGGTGATGATGGTGGTGATGATTGTGGTGATGGTGGTGTTGATGACGATGATAACGCCTGTGGTACGGCGGTGGCTGTGGATGACGCTATGATGGTGGCGACGGTGACGATAACGATAACGATAACGATCATGATAATTTTAGTGTAATTATGGTGATGAGGATGAGGATGATGATAATGATGATGAAGAGGATGCTGACGACGGTGATTATGATGACGGGTGCTGCTTCTGATGAAGATGATGATGATGATGATGATGATGATGATGATGATGATGATGGTGATGACGGTGATGGTGGTGGTGATGCTGCTGCCGATGATGATGATGATGATGATGATGATGATGATGATGATGATGATGATGATGAGGATGATGATGATGATGATGATGATGATGATGATGATGATGGTGATGATGATGATGATGATGATG